AGTCAACATGAGTTAACAGGTACTTTTCTAGAAGCAGCCATGATAACATTGAAATGTACCAGTAGGTGCAGTGATTAGTATCAAAGACATGTTTGTCTGACAAATGAGCTGATAAAAAAGGTGTGGGTTGCTGAAACTGGATTAGGGTGTGGTTTTCTGACAAAGAACACGCTATATGAATTTGAATGTACAGCACAGTAACTGCCGCAGGATCCAGAACAATTCCTATCTGCGAGGATAACCTCATAATGGGACACATCCACCATCACTCTTTCTATAAGTTGTTAATTGGAACTGAAGATGAAGAGTAGCTTGTTACTTAATTGTCACTCTCTTCTAATAAGAATTTTTACAGATAATATGCTTGAACTCTACACAATGCCTATTTAATGTAGGAAACAACTTTATGTTAATTTTGGTCACAAAGACAATGACATATAATTGTCTCAGCAAAAGGATGATAATATCAAATGAGCATCCCCTTATTGAACATCTTCCTCCTGTGATACTATTACAGTATAAGGCTGGAGGATACATGGGCCACACCTGCAGCTCTTCCGCAGCCTCTTTCCAAGTCCAGTCTGAACTGTGTGTAATACTATTTACAGTTTTTCACCAAATTTCAATACCAAATTAAAATTAATTAAAAGTTAAGATGAATCCTTTCCACCTTCAAAATTGAAAGGAGAATTTGTTTCTGTGCCTTCTTCCTTCCAATAAAGCACAGAGACAGAGTCTAATGTTTGGCAACAGACATTTAAACAGCAGGATTGTCTTCTGAAAAATATTTTTAGTTTACACAAAAAAGTTTAGACTATATCTCCTTGGGATGATAGTGCTAGTCACTCACCCACTGTTGCTGGATTAGGGTTAGGGTGTTAGCACAATGTATTATATTATTTTAGACCTATGTGATTCCCCATAACTAAATTCCCTATTGATTAGGTTTTCATATGGGGTTATTCATCAACACCATCATAGTTAGATTTTACATAAGCTTTTGGACTGCCTTTCATATAATTTATGTTATTTTGTAACAAATACTAATTCACAGAAAGCATTCATAAACACTAAAATTGCCTTCTGATAAATACAAGTTTTGATTGACTAAGCTGGATGGTCACCATTTTTTGGTTATATTCAGCACATACTCTCAAAATTCCAAATAGCTCTCAAACTTCCTACCTTAAAAAAATACAGTACCTATACATGTACATTATATATGTCCGTATTGAGTTCTCCTTCTAGAATTTATTGCAACTTTTTTTTAAAAACCAAGATTGATTGATTCTCACATGATCTAACTAGATCTAGTGAAAGACAAGATTAAGAACCATGTAGTGGGGTGGCTCCATCATTCCTCTTACATGGTATTTAATTTTAAATAACTCTCACATAACCATTTAATCAAAGATATATGCAAAAAAAAAAAAAAAAGCTTAAGACCTGACAATGGTTCATTTGTGAATGATAAGAGGATTCAGTGCTATTTTACTAGATTCATACATTTATTCAGTGACTGACCATCTCACCTAAATAATTCTGGTTGGCTCACAACAGTTAAAAACAGCAGCCAAATAAAACAAGTTATGTATTTATGTATGACAATTATAAACACCCAGTCTCTGGTTTCATGGATCATTGGATTGCCCTGGCCTTCTGGACTATTTTTCGCACATGTTTATTCAATGGTCTATGCATAATAGTTTCCCTGTAAAACCTAATCATAGCTTTTCATCAGTTCACAACAAAAATATTGTATTGATTGTGTCTGTAGCAAATAAAGATACTGTATTTAGATAAAAGCTGGATTTGTTTCTAGGTTAAAGTTGAAGCACTAGAGAACTGATGAGCTGAAATCCAAGGGGTGATCATGATGTAGCTGTTTAACTCACCTCAAAGCAGTTTTATATCACTTTTGAGCTATTACTAAGGAGAAAAAATAGAATTCATGTCCAAATTCTCATAGTCCTTATGTTTTTTTTAAAAAAGAAGTGATTATATAAAGTTTTTCTTCCTCAATACAAGTGGGAGAATTTCTCATTCAAACCAATATCATATGATGTGTTGGTAATTCATTTATGGTTTCGTAAACCTATATTTATGGACAAATTCTACAGTTATGCATATCTTTTATGCTCCAGTTACATGACATTGGCATTGAAATCTATCTGAACATTCCTCTACTGGACAGAAAAATAATTCTAAGATCTTTCTTGAAAAATCACACAAAAATACCTGAAAGTCATTTCCCAGTGCTGTATAAAACATGGTTTATAAATATGTAGAATAGAGTCAAAATACATTCAGTTATTATTACTACCATAATATGGCTGAGCTACTATGGCAATTCTCTGATGATTTTATATGTTAAATTTCTTTAGTTTGGATTCCAAAGACTCATTTCAAGTCAACTCTCTCCTTGGGGGACTTTGCCCCGGTCAAATGTTTGTCAGCCTAAGTTATTTAGTAGGTATTCTGGGTAAGAATTGGAAGAGATCAAATACGTCTAGAAGAGAGCTAGTTTGGGGTAACCTTGGGGTAAGACATTGTCTCATTTGAATGAATCAAGTAATCAACATGTACAATTGTTTCTGAAGAGCCAGTTTAGTGTAGTGGTTAAGGTGCTAAGCCTAAGAGTTACAAAACTAGGTGATCTTCAGATAGTTATTATTGCTCAGCCCTAAGAAGAAGGCAACAGCAAACCAATTCCAAAAAGTCTTGTCAAGAAAACTGCAGAAACTTATCCAGGCAGTTCCCAGGAATCGATGCTGACTCAAAGTCATCTCTCCCATTGTTTTTATTATTAATGTTTAATTAGGTACTTGATAATTTAATTTAATTTGAATAGTTACAATAGTACACAAAGAATGAAAACTCTTTCAGGGCAATTCTAACCACACACACAATATTAGGAACAGAAATGAATAAAAGCAGCAGGGAACATTACAAATATATTGGGTTTGGTAAAAATGCTAATGTCTAGCATCTAACTGCAGATTATTTTGTAAATTCAGTGGAAAAGTTAAGTGAAGGCCTTGGAAAATAAATAATTTAAAACTTTAAAAAAAGCAATTAGTTAATGAGGTTTCCCCTATCTTTGCTTTAAAATTGCTCTTTCTATCAGGCTGACCAGCCAAATTTCTTTCACAGGGATGGAATGTTTGTAAGGTTTTGAATGCTGGTTTCAAAATGTGAGTAAACCAGTATGGGAGGAAATAGTTTTTAAAGTAATTTATTTAAAATTAGTCCCATAATTTTAACGAGCCATGCAACTAAAACAAGGAAGGCTAATCTTATGATTCTTGAGAGCTCGTTAATATCTACATTTTGCATTAAGTTTCAGTTTCCAGAGTGACTAAATCATGGTTCAGTCTGAATGTCATTAATGTACTGATAACTGAGATAAGGCAAACTCTGTACAGATAGGGCTACAGTTAAAGAACTGATCATAACTGATAGAAAGTACTTTTGACTATTTTTCAAGGTGAAAATCGGACATAGTTTTATAATGATTTAAGATGCTTTCCAGACACTTACCACATGCAACATGATCTTACTGAATGAGATCAATTGAAGGAATTATGGGATTGGGAATTCATTGCGAGTTTTGTAGACCATAGGCATCCATGGACAGCATCCTTCATAAAAATAATAGTATTAAAATTATATTTCATATGATTTTCAATATTATCTTGATGGCATTTAAATATAACTTGGAATTAATGTATATTTATTAGTATTTTGTGTATCTGTATTTTATCTATGTATATATTTTCAAGGCTGAAAGGCAAGGCATGAAATTAAATAGCTCAAATAGCTACTTAATTTTCATTCTTTCTGACTTAAGCAAATCAAAGCGTTTTCCTGGATCCTAGATACTATGCCTATTGTGCCTAATAGAAATTCAGCTCTGGTTGGAATACTCTCACAGTCAAATGTCCTAACTCTTCAACATGCCTACGCAAGAGCAGCTATTCACACATTAATGTTTAATTTCAGAATGTGCATATCAAATGTTGCAGATGTTAGGCCAGTAAGAAGAATTAAAGCATGGTAGTGCCCTCTCGGTGTGGGAAATTTGTGAATAAGCTAGGGGAACTCTTACACTGTACAATTGGTATTTTTTGTACAGATTACTTTCTTCATTTGAGATAAAGCATACCAAGTTACCATACACACAGTATCTCCATCTTGTTGCAATTATTTTTGTTGAAATTGTGTTTTTCATGTTTTTATCATTTTGTGAGATGTTTGTGATTCATAACATAAATAGCTACCACATATAATTATTATAAATACATAAATAAAATTAAAACCCCTTTTTTCATTGTTCAAGGTTATATCAATGTAGTTATAGCATTCTGATTTAAGAACAATTACCAAGATCCTAGATCATTCCATTTCTTTAATGTGGATTAGAGGCTATCTCACCCAAACAAGTCTCCCCAAACATAAAACTGCACAGTGTTTAATAGAAAGTAGTTTCCATTTAGAAACATTGAAAAGCTTTTAAAATGAAACATTACACTTTGCTCAATTAACATGGAAATAATGTTAAATTACTGTGCTTTATAAAAGTAAAATAAAGCAAAACAAAACTACGTTTTAATAACATTATAGAGAAAGATCATTATGATGAAAATTAGCATAAATATATTGTTCTTATCTCTTTTCCCATAATAATCCATTTCATGATGCGTCAGACTCATATTGTATGCAAAGCTAAACAAAACAATTCAATATGTGTATGTATGATGAATCTATGAAACATTTTATCAGAGAAAGTTGATCTATATGGACGATTGAACGAACTAGGAAGAAAAATTCTAGTTTCTAGTCTAATGCCACCAGCTTGAGACACCCAACACATTCATCAGGAGTGAAACTGCTTTATCTTCTAAAAACAGGTTGAGCAAACAAAACTTATTAATAGAAACCATTTGATAAGGGCTGCCACAATCACAATTTGCTAGTGCAGTGAAGGGGACTTTGGCATTACCTTAAGCTTGGTAGCAGAAGGAAATATGTCTACCACAATTTGCCAAGTGATGGGCTTTTGTGTCGGAGCCCTTGGGTTTGCGGGCTGTATTGTGGCCACAGCGATGGATCCATGGAGCACTCAGGATTTATACAATAACCCAGTGACATCGTTATTCCTGTATCAAGGCCTTTGGAGGACTTGTGTGAGTCAGAGTTCGGGTCTTACTGAGTGTCGGCCTTATTATACAATTCTTGGGCTTCCAGGTATGGCTAAATCTACCACAGACATAAAATAAAAGCAAATGCTTTTTGTAATCTGACAAATACAATATTTTAAACAGCTTGCCTATATAAATGGGGATTATATTGACTACAGTAAGTAGATATGTCTACTTATAAGGATATTGTCATTACGAAAGTAGCAGATAGAAAATACTAATGTTTAAAACTTGTTACTATTACAAAGGGAAAAAATCAAAATTGGTTTAAAGTTGTTAGTTTTCTTACTGAGTTTTTTATCTGTTATGTCACTACTAATTTAATATATACTTATTCATTATCTATGATCTGAATAAAAGGCATCAACTTTTTTTCCCACAGGACAATCTGATATTTTCCACTATGAAAAAGTAGACTGCTGACCTTAAAATATCAGAGAATAAAACAATGTCATTTAAATTATTTAAAATTTCTAAATTTTTATCAGAATTTCCCATGGTATTAATATTGTGCCTAACTCATGAGCGTATGTACTTGACGGAAGTTAGATATACACACACCAGTTATGAAAAAAGAACTTGATCTAACATTTGACTTTTACAAATACCTTGCACATTATAAAACAATTCTGAGATTGATAAACTTTTAGAAAAAGTTCAATGAAACATACCTAATAGTATGTTAAAAGTTTTGTTTTGTCTGGCATGTTTTTTTCTTCCAATGGGCACACATGTTCTTTTTTTTATTGTTCTAGAATTTTATAGTATAAAGTATTGTCAGTCAATGATACTCATTAAGAATGTTAACATAATTGGTAAAACCATTATTTGATTTTAGTATGATACATTTTTTTCACATTACTAAATGTTTTTATTTATTTATTATTTGCTGGATGTTTCAACATCAGAAAGATAGTGTATACTTGGAATCATTGGATAGGAGTATGATGAATAAAGTAGTTCTGAGCTAGACTGAAATGCTAATGATTTAATTTACTAATAAATGTTGTATACATTCTTTTTTCAAATACATTTTTAGATTTAATAGGTTAGTTTTGAAGTAAACATTTCTATAAACAATTATTCTTAAATTCTTCACAGCTCTATTTATTGAAAAGAATACAAACCCCACAAAATATTATACATTGGTATCACAAAATGAGTTTAGAAGTGGCAGAGAGGGAATATCAATATATGCAGGAATACATCATTTTGGTTCCAAGTATACTTCTAAATAATAATTATTAAACAACTACACCACCTGTATACAATATAGTTTATTTCTTATGTAATTCCATGTAAAAAGTAACAACTTTAATCAGTTGTTTACAATAATCTTACAATACTTATAATAATTATTAAAAGGAAATAAACTATTGTATTACTGTAGGCACTGAGAAATTAGAAGTTATCTGTAGCAAATGAGTGGTATAAATTTTCTTGTGTCTTGGGAGAAAGGACAAATAAATCAACAGTGAAGATCTTTTATAACAGGAACAACAGAAATAATATGAGTTCTTGATAAATATGCCTTCCAGATTTACTAGAGTCATCATTTCAATATTTCCAACCTATGGAAATATAACTCTGGCCTTCTATTAATTTTAAACATTGAATTGTTGCTGAAGCAATAGGAAAGAAGAAAGGAAGTCAATCCAAACTGAACTAAATTCTGTCCATAACAAACAATTTACACAATATAATTTTGAAAAAGTAGCACATAAACATGTGACTCATCTAGTGATTAACAAAATGCCAACAAACTTTTTTTTAGTTCTTATTTGGATATATTTTATTTCTGAATCTATAGTACATGTCTTTACAGAACTAGGATTCGATGCTTGTAATGAGATTTCCCCCTTAATTAACTATATGCAGGACTATAGTATGGTAGAACAGTCCAAAACTGGATTAGAAGAGGAGCAAAACAGTAGATTTTTTGCTTCTTTTCCAGTATATGGAAGCAATAGGCCAGAACATGCTTTTTACCGGGCAGTATTAGCAGTAACGGTACAATAGCTGAAACTTGTGAGGTATATACCCCTGATTTTTATGCTAGAAAGAGATTAGGGCTTTTACAAATTAGAGACTAATGGCAAGGTCTCCAAGGTCAGGAAAAGAATAGCGAAATACCTGTTAAATTGAAAATATGGAAGGAACATGTACTGGATTTATACCTGCACGGGTTTCCTATGTGCTTGCTAGATGCAGAACATTTTCATTTGAGAATTGTACTGGTTACTAATTGGCTTCAGTAGAATTCAAAAGTTGCCTTTACAGCACTTCAGGTTCCAGCCCTGGACAACTGAAATATTAATACAGATATAACATTATGTAAATGATCATTCAAAATCACCAAATAATTTGGTTTTTTTAGAAGAGAGAAGTAAGGATGATATGAATATAAGACTCCTAATATGGTTACGCCAGGTTACTACAAGTTGGAAAAGGACAATAACAAAATTCAAGGGACATTTCAGGATCCAGGTGCTACATGCAAACATAGAACTGATAAGAGACACACGTACAGGCTTACAATCTAACTGTTGTTCTACCAGGAAAAATGGATACATATGAAAAGACACTGTGAACTTTTTTGAAAAAGACTTGGCATTTGCTTTATAAGTCCAGCTATTTACTTCTTTCCTGTGGAAATTTTATACTAGCTTTGCCTAAATTTCAACCTAGATCAACATCTAGCTGCTATCAACATCTATTATGGCTATGGCAGATATTTCCAGGAAATCAATATTCAGATACTTCTAGATACACAAGTCTCTTGTTTGTGCTTTTTTTAATTAAAAAAATATGACTTTTTACATGTTTATTCTTTTGTACCTTTTTTGCTATACACCACCCACAGATACTGTTTGTGAGATGGGGGGAGCGATATAAATTTGATAAATAAATAAACAAACTTTTTCAGATAATTCAATTCTGATTGTCAACCTACCAGCAGCATTTATTGAAAAAAGGCTCCTGAAGATTATAACAGCAAATAGTTTTCATGAATTTATCTACTCTTTTTTTCCTGAAAACCCTCAATATTAATGTCCTTTTAGCAAACTGATCATTTAGCTTTCTCTCCAATATTTCCTACCAGTCCTGAGTCTATGGTGAAAGAACGGTGGCTGAGACCCAGATTACTTTATTGTTATATACAAAGTTATGAACAATGTTTTCCTGTATCCATTCACTTGAGACATTTTTCCCCACCTTTCTCTCTATTTTTTCCTCTTTTTGACAGCGATGCTTCAAGCTGTAAGAGCACTGATGATCGTGGGCATTGTGCTGGGTGCTTTTGGTCTCCTGGTGGCTACATTTTCTCTGAAATGTTTACGGATGGGCAACATGGAAGACTCTGCCAAGGCAAGCATGACTTTGGCTGCAGGAGTCATGTGCATTGTATCTGGTGAGTTAGAGAGTTTATATAGATGTCATCTATTTTTAAAGAAATGTTTGAAATTAAAAGGTGGAGAACATTTTAAAAAGTTACAAGTGTCAAGAACTGTTAGTTGACCACATCCCCACCACTTCCCAATCACTAAAAATTGCATATGGTTCTGATAAACCTACAATAGTAGATTACATTTCTCATATTCAGTTCAAATAGGCTTTTACAGCTTTAGTAATGAATCACAATGGGTCTTATAAGAGCTAGTATCAGAAGATCATATCTGAGACACATTCTCATATTTGAGGCTGAAGACAATTGCAACAAAGGGGATTTTGTGTGAAAAGGTCATCACATGTACTGTCCTCCCCATTCACCTACAAACATTGACCAAGCTACCACCATCTCAGATTCCATTCACTCCTAGCCCATTGTCAGATACAAATTTCAGGGCAGGGGTGAGATGATTGTTGCCTGCTATTTCATATATTATTGCTTATATATTTATAATTATTTCAATCAATTTCACAATTGGCATGCTGTTTAAAATTATTTATTGAGAATAGAGCTAACAAATTATTTTTGCAGGACATTCATGTTGTCATGAAATAGAACTCCACTGGATGTTCTAAGTGCAGTACAATATCAGAGGATTTAAGGGTTGGAAGGGACTTTGAAATTTGACTAGTTCAATCCCCTGCTGAGTACAGAATTCTACTATTATGCTTGCCAAGAATGGTGTGAAAACCATACAGACTCTACTTCAATAACTCTTCATTCACTATTGAATAGCTTCTTAGGAAATAAAATGTCCTGATGTGCAGCCCAAATTTACTTTTTTTTAATGCAAGTCCATTGTTTCATTTTTTCCTTTTGGAAATAACAAACCTGTACAATTTTGTCCATCTTGTGCATGATAGCCCTTCAGTATTTGAAGACTGAATATTTTCTTGAATTCTTCTTAGTTGATACCCTTTGAACACATTCCAGTTATCAATGTCATTCCTAAATTGTTGGATTGTTGGATTTAGTACTGGATGATATATTTTAGGTCCAGTTTGACTAACACAGATCAGAGGGGAACAATAATTTAATGTTTAGTTTCTGGAAAAACTCAGGGTAATGGTACTGATGTAATACAAGGACACCTGCATTTGCTCCTACGTAGTATTTCAATGTATAGTGTATAATTAGGAATCCAGTGAACCAAGCATCTTTTCATTCACTTGTGTTGTAAACTGAAACAAAGTGTTCTTTGCTGGATTGGATCTACAGTTTGTCTAGACATCAGTACCCAATTCAGCAACAGATAAGGAAAAGTTCCTGGGACTCTCATAAACAGAGCATGAAGATAATTGATCACTGCTCCTTCCTAGCAATAGATGATCATGATTTGAGGATAGAGTATAGGAATCATAGCAATAATATTCTTAAACTTCATGAACATTACAGTGAAGTAAACTTACTAAAAATAAATTGTGTTAGCATATTTCCTGAGAAGTAGAGTTTAAATCTGATAAGTGGTAAGTGGAGGTAAAAAAAACCCAGTTGCATGATCATAATATTGACCTGCTTATAATTACATAGTAAATTTAAAAAGTTTTTAATGTTTTGATGAATTTCAGACTCATTGGGTCTGATACTAAAAATCTCTGTTCTTTTTTGATAGGTATCTGTGCTATCTGTGGAGTATCTGTTTTCGCCAACATGCTTGTCACAGACTACTGGATGTCAACAGCTAATATGTACCAGCCAGGAATGATGCCGTCACTTCAAGTAAGGTAATTTCAGTCCATAGTGCTTAGGAGGAGAATGTTGCTGCTGTTTTCCTAATATCAGCACTGAAATAGTAAGCTCATTTTAATAATCTTTTTTCTCTCCATGTAATGGGCTGTGAGAATAACCTCGAGGAACAGGGGGAAGAGCTGCAATCAGGACTACAATAAGATAAATGAAATTTCCAAAGCAAAATTATAATTGATCTACTAAGCCTTGGCTTTTTCCCCAGGCATTTGGACCCAGACTTGTCAAGGCAGTGCTTTTTGATCATCATTTTATATTTTATATATTGAGCTTTTATTAAGTAGTCCATGGTAACTTTTTTCTCTCTTATATATTGCCCAGAGTCAATGCTTGAGTTCTGAAGCCCTATACATCAAATAAATGAATGAATGAATGAAGAAAGAAAGAATGAAATATGAATATAAATAAATAAATCCCATTAACATGATTAATATATGTAATTGTTTTCCTATCGTCTCATGTTAGAAATTATAATTTGATAGCATTTGGGGAGAGAGTTTCTGGGAATCGCATCCAAGTTAATCAGGAACTGCATACCATGCAATGGGCAGTGAGACTGCTTTAGTCATATTGCAGCTAGTAGGAAAAATTAGTTTAAGCCCATCTGATTTCAGTGGAATTAATCCAGAATGAATTTAATCTAGCCCAGTTTACTCAGAAAATTAAGTCCCGCCTTTTCTCTTCCTTTTGCAGATACACATTCGGTGCTGCTCTCTTTGTGGGATGGGTTGCTGGAGGCCTGGCCTTTGTGGGAGGCATTATGATGTGTATTGCTTGCCGAGGACTGGTACCTGAGGAGACCCAGTGAGTACCTAGCCTTATATGTAAACAATGTTGTATGATGAAGGACAATGGAAGATTTCACTTATTCTACCTTTTTAAAAAAATTATGAGCCACTTCTAAGAAAGATGAGAAAAAATAGTTGTCAGCAATAACAATCAACAAACAACATTTAAAATCAGAAGCAGTAGATAATCAAGACAGTACTTAAATGACAGTTCTGGAAAAAATACAACATGAATTTGTTTTAGTATTAGCTGTTTGTATATTACCTTTTCTCTTCTAGTTGACTTCTTTAGTAGATATCCAGTAAAGGCCAACTTTTATATTAAAAAGTATACCTTTATGTAGCTTAGTAGTAGTTATTAGTACTAGTATGAAGTACTAATAGAAATACTTGTAAACTCCTAGAAAGTTACATTTAATGTGGGGAAAAGAATAGGTTATTAATATGTTTTCAAGTGTAATTCAAGGCAAATAACCCATCCTACTGCTGAATTATGACTTTGCTTATAGAAATGAAGTTTTAGGCATGCAAATTTCTCCCACAATAAGATCAGATCTTTAGTGATGAAGCTTGATTTTATGTGGTTAAGCTACCTATTCCCTGTAAAGCCTGCAAAGCTCCAAAGAGACATTCTCCCCTCATTTTCCAGTTGATTATCATTCTGATGTATAGAACATTTTGTTATTTTCATTGGCTGTTTTTCATTTCCATGTAATGCTTGGAGCAATGTTATGTTGGACAAATGTGAGAAAATTAAAGTAGTGAGTAGCTACTTGGTAATGGCATTGTTGCCCAAGCCCATGAACAAGGACGGGACAAATTGTGATTTAGTGTGGAGTCTCTCAGTTGGATGGAGATGATTGTTTGACTAGTTCTAAATAGATGCACAATACTGAGTTTTAATTCATTGCGATTGAGAGAGTATAATGGTAAGTAAGAAAGACCTTGGGAAACTGGGCAAAGAGATGCTGCCAAGGAATGGGCAGATAAGAGACAGCTTAGTTTGTAACTGGATAGTGGGTGGGGCAAGACACTCATACGTTTCCTTGCTCTATAGGAGATGGGTGGAGAGAAATGTACTTTCAGATGTGCAAGATTCTGTAAAGGTAGTTAGCAATACAGTAGAGTTAGATCATCTGGCTGTAATTCCTATATGGTTTATCTTGGGAGGCCAACAGAGGGCCATTATATTAGTTATGTAGATACTGGATATTTATAGGTGTAGAGAACTATATTGAAAAGAACAGTGCAGATACCTCAAGGATAGCCCATTACCTCCCACTTCCACTAAATGACACATTGATTTACTTGTCTTTCAGTTACAAGGCAGTCTCCTACAAGTCTGCTGGATATAAATCTGCTTATGAAACTAAGAAGACTCCAGTAATGGATAATAATACTGTCAAAAGTGATGAAGGAAGACGTTCCTACCCTTCAAAATATGACTATGTATAGAAATTGTCCTGTTATTATATGTTTTCACATTCTACTTGTTAAAACTTTAGCTTTAATCCAAACTAGGTGAAGTGTTAATATCACGTCTGACCTCTCTTTGAATTATTCTTAGGTTTGCCCTTATGATGCTGTAAATCTCTTCTCCATTTGTTTATTAATGTTTGCTTTATTATTGTAAATATCGTGGTAAACTTGAAATTAATTGATTATTCCCCCCCCCAAATAATTGCTTCCTTTTCAAAGAGAGTTAAAACACTCCATTGCCCATTTTCTATATTTTAAATAGGTGTAACTATATAGTAAAAAACTGGAACATCATTGCAGTTTACAATATTGAATCTCTTTCAGGTTTATGTTTTGAGACTTTACAGCAGTGTTTTTCAAAGTTTTTTTTTTAAATACATGTTTTATTAATACATTTTTAAAATATCACATAAAAATTCCATATCTGTCTGAACAGCATGTTGTCTGGACACAATTAGTTTTAAGTAGAAATGCAATATTAATCAAAATTAATCATAATAAGCATAATAAACATCAGTAATAATAACAAAATGGTAATACAATTAGTTTATCCATCTTATAAAATTTTCAATACAAAAGTTTTTATTATCTTTAAATCTTATTAGATTCTACTCCCTGATTCTGTTAGTTAACCATTGATAAAACAAGTCCCATGTCAAAGTTTTAAAGTTTTGGGAACTTTAAGATGTAAGGACCAACTCGCAGAATTCCCATGCTGGCTAAGGAATTCTAGGTGTTGAAGTCCATGTATTTTAAAGTTTCCAAATTTGAAAAACACTTTACAGTTTTAAACATATCTTGATAATCTATTTGAACATTTCCCCAAATCATTCAAAATTCAATCCAAGTTAAGAAAATTATTTTATTTTAATTTCTACAAATAATATGTAACTTTAGAATTAATTAGGGTGAACATGAAGTAGGATTAATTGCTAAAACAAATATCCTTGCTCTATTTCAGCAGATATGTCCAAGTGTGTTTTCCTTCTTATTTCATTCACTCTTTAAAAAACAGTGACATAATAAAAATATGTTGATTATTGTAGCTTGCTTATAGCAAGTTTTTTCTTTATTTTTGAATACACTTTCAGTCATGGCACATTTTGTATGATGCAACCATCTTGTCATTCTTACACTTGAATACTGACAAAATAAATTTGCAACATTAGTATCACATATTGTCTTGAAAGTGCATTACTAAGGCAACATTGGTCTGCTCCATCTTATCTTCTTGTTTAGGATGCTATAGATGGAGAACAGCAAACTCAGATCATCTTTTTATCCCCTGCTAGAATTGTATCATTTTGGATGTGTGTGGGTTATTTTTTTGCTAAATTTCTCTTTTGAATTAAATTGCAAATGTTTGTAATCAGCAAAACTTCAAAGAAATCTAGAGACTTGTATTGATGTTTATATTTTCAAGTTCAGTTTTCCTTTTCTACATAATTTTGGAGGCATTTTAATAGAATATATTTTGTGAGTTAATTTTTTTTCCTAATATACATTTTTAACATTATTTTATATTACTTAATTTTAAAACTGGATTAAGTGTTCTTGTGTTTTTTCTTTCTTTCTGAGGGTTCAAGATATGTATTCAGACATTTTGATGGGCCATTTCTCACTCATTTCTAAGGATTATCAATTTTCTTCCAAAGCTAATAGTTTTCAGTATAACAGAATAAAAATGCATGTCAAATGTAAAAATAAAATAATTAAAATAAATCTTTTGAGTTCAGTGAGTTGTTTAACATGCATAGAATTGTAACCTAATTAAAATTCTTTTGATAAATATTATCTTAATAGTTATTAATTTGATAAATGTTAATGCTACTATTTTGCTTTCCAATTCCTATTAATGAAAAACTTCATTATTGCCATTATTCAAAAAATATTGACTGCCACCTCTTGTGTTTAAAATTAATACTTTGTCCTAAAATTGTGCAGTTCTGTTATTTTCATAACATTAAGGAAATTTTATAGTATTTTCCATAAGAAGTTAGAAATCTGAGTGTCCATCAGCTATTCCATTGCACTGATTTTTGATGTGAGAGAGGTCGACAGTATGTGACTCCATAGAAGTTACATGATATTCAAGTCTGTTAAAGGAGAACAAGACAAGTGAATCCTTGATGGCCACAAAAGTTCCAGGAAGAAAGAACTGTACTGTTAAATTCTCTGTTGAAACTTTGAAGGAATAAAGGACTGAAGGAATAAAACATTTTCCATAATCCAACACAAATCGTATATTATATTAGAAAATATAGGCATACTTTTTGAAATACTGTTTTAGTATATTTTAATTAATGTAACAGCCTTTTAACATGCATTAATTAATGTAAGACCTTTTCTTCCTGCATCTTGTATAGCTAGTGTTACTGCTATTTTAGTTTCACTTTCATAGCTTACTGCATTAGATAAAGCAGAAAAAATGGTTTGTTTCAAATTATCCATTTAATTTCAAAACAATCCAACTTCATCAATTATAAAATTGAGTTAATTTATTTTGTTTTAAACCATGATATCTGATCCTTATAAAAGAATAAGGACAAATTGGAAAAATAAGTCCACTTTGCTAGGTTACTCTGTAACCATCTAGGGAGTCCAAAGCATGGCCACGCTCATTCCAACTCATGCATTTAGCCTTATGTAATGGTTTAGCATTATATAATTTGTTGTTAATCTATGCTGGCAGTCATGTTCTTTAGTCAAGTGATCTACTTTGATAGGATCTGCTATTATTTTATAAATACACCTCATATTAACTTATTTTAACAAAATTGATTATATAGGTCACTTTGTATGTTCAAAATATTGAATGTTTGCTTATTAAATTAGTTTAAGAATTTGTATTAGTGTTCCTTCTTTCTGAGTTAAAACCAGCACTTTTTTGTGTCTGTGTGAATGTGACTGTTGTTATAGTCATGCATTTTCTACTCCAGTAGAAAGGGAAGAAAATGAGCTTTTGTTCATCACGTCTTCCATTGAAATTACTATAAAGTTCTTTATACAATGCAAATAATGGGATTCCAAGTATTGGCATTCATTATTTATCCAAGTGCATTTGGTATTATCAATAAAAAATATGAGGATTCTTGATCCCATTAGAAAGCAAATATGTTGATGACAGTAGAAATATGGTTTTCCAAGCTTTGGTTTTCTTAGACTTTATATGAAGTGGCTGAAACAATTTCAACAATAGGAATGCTTCTGCTGCATCTTGACATACAGTAATAACCCTTTAAAATATTGTACTAATACTTCACTTATTTGTTCCCCATTTAGGCAGCTCTAAGTAGCTGCCTACTGAGAATCTGAGCACTCAGCCAGTTACACTATGCATGGTGCTCCCAATGTCACTAGGATGTTACGAAAGAGATAACATGCTTACATTTTTTGTCTGCAGCACTACAGAATTCCCACGGCATCATTTGAGATAATCTCAGGCACACTTGCTAGGTGCCAATAATAATCTCAATTCTGAGAAGTCTGGCAATTTCCCCTTCTTAAAGGTTACTAAAACACTTCCCAACCATTAAGTGGAACTTCCAGCTTGTGTAGTCTTTTTCCTTCCTTCTTTCCTTTCCTTTCCTTTCCTTTCCTTTCCTTTCCTTTCCTTTCCCTTTCCCTTCCCCTCTCCTTCCCTCCCTCCTCCCCCACTTTTCTGTTTTCCTTTTTCCTTTCCTGCTTTCAATCCATATCAATTGCCTGACTAGTTTATGCAGTTTTCTTGACAAGATTTTCAGAATTTATTTTGCCTTTTTTCTTGGCTGGAAGTGACTGGCCCAAAGACACCAACTAGCTTTGTGTCTTATGACAGAGCTAGAACTCTCAGTCTCCCAATTTCTAGTCTGGTGCCTTCACCATTAGACAGATTGTTTCACTTGTTGTACCTGTTTTACTTACCTGATTGGTAAGTAGATTTTTTAAAGATTTTTAACTGGTACAACAGATGAATGATATTTTTTACAACTGAACAACTGGAAGAATTGTATACAGACATATACAGATCATGTTCAGAAACAGAGGCTTGGGCCATATACCACACTCAGCCATTTTAGTTTAATTTTTCTTAAAGTAAGAAAAGATACTGCAAAACCCTGAAATGAAAAAATAAGCATCTCAAAACAGAAGGGTCAATTAAATCATACAAAGCCTATTTTGCTTTCTTAATGCAAATATAACTTGCTTCCTTTCCCCAAATTTGAAGAACACTCTTTGAACCAGTAGTAGACATGCAAAGTTGTTCTGTTTTTTTCTGCAATACTGTAGGAATACAGTTTCCTGATTTGCTTGGAGTTTTGTATGATTCCATACTTTTAGCATCCACTTTCTCTCTGTTCTGTTCAGAAAGAGAATCAGTGTGCCGTTGTTCTTTTTTACTTACCACATTCATGGATAGGGGAAGTCTGCTGATTTACACCATACAAAGTTCACAATTCGATTCTTACTATGTTACAGAGCACCTGATTATGACATCGAACATGTAAACAAGCTAAATACACTACTAACATGGGCAGCATCCTGCCCATACCCTTTAATCTTTCTTGGTGATTTCAATCTACCTCATATTGACTGGACCCTAAATGAATGTACAACTGAAACCATACACGAAACCTTCTACAATGCTGTTATAAATCTGGGACTGGAACAACTAGTAACCAACAACACTAGACTAAACAACTGCCTCGATCTCATCTTCTGCAATAGTTTGAATTTAATTTACGGAATACAAACTAAAGAACCCTTTTCCAGCAGTGACCACAATATGATTGACTTTTGTCTCAACATACGCCCACACAAAAACCACCACAATAACGTAATCCCCAATTATAACTTCAAAAAAGGCAACTATGATCTTATAGACAATGATCTCTCATCCCTTGATTGGCAATCTCTATTCACTGGATGCAATACTGTTGAAGACCATTACAACATATTTTTACTTGAAGTCAAAAGAGTCATCAAACTATATGTACCAACAACAACTCTCAAAACAAAACAAAAAAACAGATTACCCATAACAATAAGGAAACTTCAATCCAAAAAGAGATCACTCTGGCAGAAAAACAAATCTGGTCACGTTGCCAATTTCAAAAGCCGATACAAAAATTTATGCCACCAGATAAAGACCGAATGCACCAATTATCACATTAAACAAGAGGAAAACCTTCTAAGCACCAA